GGTGTTGGCATATACCTGGCATATGCTCCACTACACTAGGGCTTAGGCCCTCCTGCTGGTTTGCTGAAGTGGAGCTTGCTGCTGGCTTACTGGAACACCTATTGTCCTGGACAGCATTCTCCTTTTACCTGAGTGAGGCAGACCTTTTTTTGCTGATCTTCCCAGTTTCTTGGGCTAAAAGATTGCTTCACCTCATCTTTTTGTTGGTTCTATTGTTCCAAGACTTGTTTTGGGACAAGCATTTAGACTTGTTTGGAGGTGAATATGGGTGGGTTATGGTGATTTACTGATTATTCTGCCATCTTGGCTCCCAGAAGTCCTCCACCTGAAAGACTGTCATTCCTGAGCAGATTTTTTTAAGGACCACAGTGTCCACCTCCTGGCTTGAGGAAGAGGCTAGAAAAGGTGCCCTAAAAATTGTCAGCTTCACCTAAACTAACTCTGGCCTGTTTGCAATGGCAGGTGGGGATCCCACTCTGGTTATAACAAAAATATTGCAGTAGCTCAAAATAAACATGAGATGCAAAAATCTGGAGCCATCTCCACTCCAAATGCTCATGTGGACTCTGTGTCCAATACGTGCTAGAGCCTTCTGAGCTCATATTGGTCTGATCAACCACAGTGGGACACACTATACCTTAACCCAATGTAGTGATGTCATTTTGGTCCTCTGACAGCTAAAGAGAAAAACCAGCCAACCATTCCCAGCACTTAGCACAGTGTCTGGCTTGTAGTAAGAAAAATGTTTGTTATCTGAATGATAACTTCTTTATAGTCATCATATTTGGCATTTTTTATTTGTTCAGTCATTTTTCAGTCACGTCCAACTCTTTCTGACCCCATTTGGGTTTTTCTTGGTGAAGATACTGGAGTATCCAATTTTCAAGTCTTTGTTACAAAAAAAAGTACTGCTATGAAATTCTTTCTATAGTGCCTAAGCTATAAAATGAGGGTAATAATAGCAACTATTTCCCAGGAATGTTGTATTAAATGAGATAAGCTTCATACATATTACACATTTAATAAATGTTTATTTCCTTCCATATATAGCTGCCATATACCCTTCAAGAGCCGCAGGACCCTCTCTCCCCAGAAGGCACTTTTCAGTATCCTGTTGATGTTTCCTTATCCTTGGAGAGGACAATCTGGAACCCGGGTGATGTGAGAAGGAGGAAGTGTCTTCCTCAATAATCCCAGGAACAAACACAACTACCCTGAAGAGACACCTCCTGTTCTGGTAGTCAGGGCTGGAACCTATGGTCCTTGATTGTCAGCTCTCAGAGTCCTAGTCACTGGAGTACAATTCTGAGCTCCTCAGCCTAATTGGCACACTCTTGGCACATACTAATCAGCAATTAGCTAGAAGGGGTGCAGACTCAGCTCTATCTGTTCCTTGAAGTTTCTCTGGGGGCACATCTGTTTCTGAAAGCTGGCAATTGTGCCCTGGGGGAGCTGGAACCTCTATGGCCTGGGGAAAACAGCAGGTCTAAAGAAAAGGAGAGGTATAAATCTGCTGATCTTTTCCCACTTTGGCTTGACCTACAGCTTATTCATGGACAAGCTGACCACTTTTCTCTCTTTACTCTGGAGCCAAGCTTGAACTTACTGCACTCATACCCTTTGCTTCAGCGAAAGCAGCACCAAGTTGGGTAGCTATAAGCAGTCACTCAGGTCCTAGACTCTCACACCCCCTCAGGTGAGCTATTTTCTTCCCCCCATACTTCAAGGAGAAGGGAATTGTCCTTCTCTACTTTATCCCAAGAAGACTTTTGAGTACCACTTCAGGTGGGAAGAGGAGCATGGGCCTCAGTAGTCTGCAAATTACATAGTTGATAAATCTAGGGAAGAGAAGGTAGATAGGAGAGAGAAGACAACATTGCCAGGCCCAGAGGTTTTTGCAGGAGGGAGAAAGATGGAGGCATCCTCTGACCTACTCAGGATGCATCAGGATAGTTGTGGTCATTTCTGGTCATCATGACAGAATTATAGCATGTAAGCATTGAGAGAGACCTTAGAACATGGAATATCTAGGCTGAGAGGGAACTTAGAATACAACAAGTCAGAGCTGGGAGGGTCCTCAGAACACAGAATGTCAAAGCTGGGAAGGTCTTTCAAAAAAAATGTCAGATGTGGGAAGGTCCTTAGAAAAGTGAATATCAGGGCTGGAAGGGACCTTAGGTAGAGAGATCCCTGAAGAAGCATCTTGGGCAACTGGAAGACTTTTGGATGAGGGTGGAGAAGATGGAGGGAATTGTGGATTCTTAATCTGGAGAAGAGATGAGTTAGGGAAAATGTGAGTATTCTCTTTGAGTATATGAAAACTGTCATAGGGAAAGAGGATTAACCTCATTGTGCTTGAGCCAGAGGGCAGGCTGAGGAGCCCTGGGAAGAAGCTGCAGTCACAGATTACTACTTAACAGGAGGGAAATCATTGTAAGGATCCAAGCTGGTCAAGAAAGGGAGAAACTTGGTAAAGCAGCTTCACTCGATATGCCTCAATTTCCTCATCTGTAAAATGAAGGAGTTTAATTAGTTGATATCTGAGGCCTTTTCCAACTTTAAATCTCTAATCTGTGATCTGAGCTCCTGACACCATTTTTTGGAAGGGAGGATTAGCAAAGACTTTGGCAAAGACACTCATTCCCTACTTGTGGAGGGGATGAGAACTCAGGCACAGGCAGAGGTAAGGAAGGAGGCACCACAGGCAGAGAATCAGAGAGTAAGATAGCCTTGGGGGGGGGGGCAGTGCTTTACAATTCTGAATTTAGGAAAGAGAGGTGGCAAAAGTAGCAAGAATAAAAACCAATGTGAACAAGGAGTGGAGACAAGTGACATGAAGGACAAAGAGCTGACAGGATGCTGTGATACAATAGCCATGAGGGGAAACAGCTAATATTTGGGATGGGCTTGAGATAGAACATGTAGCCATGAGAGAGAAGGCTGAATCAGTAAGTTGCCCTGGAAAGGTCTCAATTTGGAGGCTGAGAATCTGAACTCAGGACCTTGCTACTAGTGGGAATTTGGACAAATCCCTTTCCCTTTTCAGACCTCAGTTTCTTTACTTGTAAAATGAAAGGCTTAGACTAGATGGCCTTGGAGATCATTTTCCTGTCAATGTCTATGATCTTTAGTGTAGAAACCTTTCCCCATGGAGTAAGCAGAGGTCTAGAAAGATCTGAGAAATATCTGTAATGGAAGGGGCTTCAGACTCTCCAATGGATGGAGCTCTAGAGGAGGAGGCCAGTAAGGAAGGGTCAAAGGCGAGGACATCCCTGTGTCCTGGAGCAATTGAGGCAGGTGATATGAGACACAGACCTGCCCAACTCTCTCAGGAGACAGGGCAGTTTGGGGTGGGATGTGAAGGACACCTGAGGAGGAAAAGGTTGAGTGATGCCCTGGGACCCACTGAGCCTGAGAAATGCTAAAAGGGGACACTTGCTTTGCCACTCCATTCCTGCTGCAGAAGGTCACTTTGGGATCAAATTTAATAAAAATGAGATTCACTATAAATTAAATGTAACATCCTATAATTGGATTTAAAAAATCAACACAATCTTGTAAGTACAAGATTGAAGCAGGGAAACTAAGTGATAGTTAAATTTAAAAAGTGAGTGTTTTTGTGCACCACACACTGAGTATGAGGCAATTATGTGAATGGTAACCAAAAAAGTTACAGCAATCTCAGCTTACTTGGCAACTTTTAGAAAGACCTAGAGATCACTGAACAAGGACCATAGATTCTGAGATGGAAGGGACGTTGAATGTCATCTAGTCAAATACCATCATTTTACAGATGGGGAAATAGAGGCCCAGACAAGAAAAGTGACCTGCCTGAGGAAAATGTAAAGTCCTATATGTGGGTTTGAAAAATCAATTGCGCAATTAGAACATGCCACATTCAAATTCTGCCTCTGTCATTTCTTAGCTGTGTGACCGTGGACAAATCAATTAATCTCTCTAATACTCAGTTTTCTCATCTGTAAAATGACAGGATCAGACTCTATAACCTCTAAGGTCTCTTTGAGTTCTAATGGAAGAAGAACAACTGGGAAATAAAGAAAGTAGGGGTTTTAGTTTATTATAAGTTCAGTGGAGATAACAGTGTGACATAGAGGCCAAAAATCAACCTGAGGTTCTTAAGGTGCCTTAAGAGAGGCAGAGAGATCAGAAATCATGAAATTAGAACTAGAGAGGGCTTTAGAGGGCATCCTCTCCAACTCCCTGATTTTATAGATGAAGCCTAGAGTGGTTAAGGCACACAGGTAGTAACAGAGGCAACATTTGCACCCAAATCCTTTCCCTCCAGATCCAGTACTTTCTTCCCTTCACCACTCTTTATTCAGAACAAGAGGAGACACTTGTCCTGATCCTCTTAACCCTGCTTAGGTCAAATCTGATGTACTGTGCTCAGACCCAGGCATCACCTTTTAGGAAGGCCACTGACAACATCTATAGCAGGATAAACATGATGGGGAGGAGACTGCAGATAGAGTTACAGAGAAATTGTTCAAAGGAATTGGGTAGGTTTATTCCAGAAAAGAGATTGGGGAGGGGTGGGGAAAACCATACTTGTCTTCAAGAATTTAAAGTGCTGCTAGGGATTAGAAGAGTTCTGCTTAACCCCAGAGGGCAGAAGTAAGAGTGGTGGGTAGAAGTTAAAGACTCTGATTTTAGTTCAACACAGAGAAGCCTCATGGCAGAGTGGTTTATTGTGGAAGGGCCAAGTTCCCATCCATTTTTGTCATTTTGTTTTTTGTTCCCCTGTTCTAACAAGCAGAGCTGTCTTATACCAGAATGATTTGTTTGTGGAAGGAGGGAGCTCTTTATCATTGGAAGTTTTTCAGTTGAGGATGCATAACCATTTGTTGGGGATGTGCTAGAGAAGATTGATGCTTTGGGTAGTGATAGGACTAGATGCGCTCTGGGGTTCCTTTCACCTCTAAGAGTCTGGGATTCAATGATAACCTTGTTTTCTCATGTCCTACTCTGGCATAGTCTCCATGCTGGTGCAAAACCAAACCACAGTGACTGAATTTATCCTCATTGGCTTCTCACCATTCCCCCGACTTCAGCACCTGTTCTTCGTGCTCTTTCTGCTGATGTATTTATTCACACTGCTGGGCAACCTTTTCATCATGTTGGCTGTCTGGCGTGAGCGGAGTCTCCACAAGCCCATGTATTTCTTCCTGTGTACTCTTTCCATTTCAGAAATCTCCTACACGTTGGCTATTAATCCCCGCATGCTTGCTGACCTGGTCTCCACTCACCACACCATCTCCTTTTGGGGCTGTGCCAACCAGATGTTTTTCACTTTTGCCTGTGGTCTCACTCACTGCTTCTTGCTCACCGTCATGGGCTACGACCGCTATGTGGCCATTTGCCACCCCTTGCGCTACAGTGTGCTTATGAGCTCACGGGGATGTGCTTGGCTGGTGACATCCTCATGGCTAAGTGGCATAGTCATGGGGCTAGTGATCACTCTTCCCATTTTCAACCTGACCTTTTGTGGGCCTAATGAGATCCATCACTTCTTCTGCCAAGTACCCCCCTTAGTGAAGCTAGCCTGCGGAGATGTCTCAGCGGTAGCCATAGGGATTGGGCTGCTGTACATCATAGTCCTGCTAGGTTGCTTCCTCCTTATCCTTCTCTCCTATACCTTCATTGCAGCCACCGTCTTGAAGATCCCCTCAGCTGAGGGCCGGCACAAAGCCTTCTCCACCTGTGCCTCCCACCTCATTGTGGTGGTTATACACTATAGTTTTGCCTCCGTTGTACACCTGAAGTCAAAGGCCTTAGAAGCCCTGGAAGGGGATACCTTGATGGGCATTTCCTACAGTGCTCTCACCCCCTTCCTGAGCCCCATCATCTTCAGCCTGAGAAATAAGGAACTGAAAGATGCCCTGAAGAAAGTCCTCCTCAGGAGCCTGTGCCCCTCAAGACTGTAATGGGGAGACTATAAGATGGTAAAGAATTTGAATAAATCCAAGTCATGTTATGGTACACTTCCTAGATGAAAACGAATTTTAAGCACATACAATATGCCAAGTATTGTGCTAAGTGTTGGGGATACAAATAGAAAAAAAGAGAAAGGCTCCATTTTGGGGGAGCCCACACTCCAGTGTGGGGAGATAGCATGCTCCAACTTTATTAATAGCCCTAGGAATGGGATCACAACCTCCATGATACTGATCTCACATGACTCATTTCCTCCCTTTGCTTACTCTTAAAGCATGGTTTTTCAGAGTCCTTTTGCTTTTATGGATGTTCATTCATGATTGATGAGTTCCTGGCTGGGTATCATGAGAAGTCCCAGTCACATTACTCACTTCATTTGTTACACTTTCCAGCATCTTCTATCTCAACACTTGGTTACATTACACCAGTTCTGATATCTTCCCTTCCCCCCATAACTTTCCAGCTCCCCTTCATCTGTTGTCATCCTCATTACAATACAACCTCCTAGACAGCAGGAACTATCTTGTTTTTATATCTCCAATGCTTAGCCCAATGCCTGGCACATAATACAAGCTCTTATGAAATGACAGTTTATAGTACTTCATTTGGCAAATGTGTTGAAATAATTTTGCTGTTATCCCAATAAAGGGAATAACACAAGCTGCACAGTTAACATTTAGTCTGTGGTGATCTGAGGCAGCAATTATTAAAAATGTTTAATGAGTATTTTTGTAAGTAACATTGGAATTAATTTATCTACTCTTGATCACCATAGGTATGCTATATTTTTCTCACATTTAATTTTGGAGTTTTTCAGAGCTTCATTTTTTGTAGTAAGCTTTCATCATGTACTCATTTTTGTAATTCAGAAAATTGAAATATATTTTTAGAGTTTGTAGTGTGTAATAATTTCATTAATAAAAATGTTTGATAATGTTTTAAAAAGGGGGACTTAAATTCTTCACATGTCTCTCTGTCTCTGTCTCTCTGTCTTTCTACCTTGATCTCTCTGTCTCTCATTCTTACCACCTGTCTGAAGTTGTGCCTGTTTTAGCCTCCCTGGTTTAATGTCCTTATCTAAAAAACAAGAGCACTGGATGGTCACTAAATGTTTTCAAAGTCTCTTTCCACTTTATATGCTAAGGTACTGTGAGACTTAGAGAGATGGAAAGTAGTTTAAAGCAAGGGCAGCTGAGGATCTGGAGACACAAATTTCTGGGCAAACCTGGGGGGACAAAGTTTGAAAGAACTGGAACTAATAATAATTGACTCCATCACTGTGGTACTTTAGAAAGCAACAACTCCTTGAGACGGGGCGGGGGGGGGGCCTAGTAATATTGTCATGGTTTTACAGGTGAGGAAACAGGCTTAGAGGAGGGTCATGCAGCTGTTAAGGTGTTAGACCCAGGACTTCAACTCAGGCTTTCTGACTCCAAGGTCAAAATGCTTCCCTGACCTCATGCTGCCTCTTTCTTACTGGGTGAAGAATACAGCCTTCTTATAGAACTGTGCAGAAGATTCCTAGTTTAGGAAAGAAGTGGGTTTCAGATGATTGGATTGAGGTATGCCAGAAGAGGCTTATCTGTCAGACTTGTCTTTTTAAGGTGAATGAAACTGGCCTTCTGTCATCTGCTATCTCTTGTTATTCTTTAACTTACAATTTACCAAGTTAAATGTTTTGATAATAATAATGATGATGATTGTGGCTCCTTTTTAAGGCTCTGAGCTCATGCAGACCCAAATTCCTCTCTTGAGTGATTCTTACTAATCATACTCTGGCTCATGCTCTTACCCAGGATTTTACCTGGGAACATATGAGTTGTTTCTACCTCTTGTCTAGGTATCATTTCCCTACTAAATTAATAAGGCACGGAACAAAGAGCAAGGTGGTTTTTTTTACACTCTACAAAGATGACAGAATGAACTCACACTTGAGTTACTACATTATGTAATTACATAAAAACGCTCCCTTTTGCTCTCTGGTGGCCTATCTTTCCTAGAATCTCTGCAGTCTTCCTCCATGGTAGTACTACCTCTTGTGTTTACTAGCACCTCTACCCTTGCATTCTAAGTGGGAAAAGAACTTGGTGTTCTCTGGAAATACAGCAATTAACCCCATTAGTGAGTAAATGCCTTCTCTGAGGATCTATAGAATGGCTCTAGACTTAACAGCATGAATTTCTGCTTGAGCACCAGCTCAACAAGGAAAGAACTTGGAGTTCTAGAGAACCTATCCTTCTTCCCTTATATTGGCATCATCCATGTGACTCATAGTACCATTCAAGGACCAGGTCAGTTTGCTTCTCTTTCTTCTGGCTCTCTTCCTTGTTGCTCCCCAGTTTTGCCTTCCATAGCTTCCATTTGGCCCAGAATGCTTCCATCAATCCCCTACTATCCCTCTACTGCTGCCAGATCATGTTCCTTCATTTCTGTCTGGACCAGGAATGCTTTCCAACATCTGTCATCTTCTCCCTTTGTCCTTACCCTTCCCCATCCCCCATTAGCACAAGTCCATGCATGTTCTCCTGGGCTCAAAAAAATCTCAAAATAACACTAGGAACATGTCTGTCAGGTAAAATGCTCATATGCCCGTTATTCAAATGATGATCGATTTGATCACAATGATGAAGATAACTTTGTTGATGATACTGCTTTTCACATCAGTCCTATTTCAACAGACTCTGGCTCCTCATCAATTCAAGTTAAGTTATTCACCTGATTGACATAGTATCCAATAAGATCTTGAATGACTAGGACAGTAGGCTGACTCCATTAAGGTGAAATATATTCAGGATAAAATAAAGTCTTTCACTCAGGAATCAAAAATACACTCACAGAAGAATATGAAGATGAGTTGAAAGAACTGGTATGGCTCATCTTAGAAAAGGCTTAGGTAGGACTTATCCCCATGTTCAGATTTTTTAAGACATTTCATGTAGAAGATGGGCTAGACTTATAGGATTCTAGAACTTACGGGGACCCTAGAAAGTCCCCAAGTCCAATCCCCTCATTGGACAGGTGGTTCAGCTGAGGTGAAATGACTCACTCCCATTAGGTCCCATAAGCATTAAGTGGCCAAGCTAGGACTCAAACCTTTGGCCTTCTGTTTCCACATCTCAGAATCTTTCCACTACTCTCTGACCATGGCTTTTCCTGTGTTTTTCAGTCCCTGAGGTAATAACTACATGCTGTCAGTGGAAATTATAGAGTCAGATTCCCGCCTTATTGGAATTGGACAGTCACCCATAAATAGCTTTAAGTTTGCCAGAACAGTTTTCATACATTATCACATTTGGTGAATCCAACATTCTTGGAAAATAAGTAGCATGGATATTATAAGTCCCATTTTACAGATGAAGAAACTAAATCAGAAAGGTTGTGACTTTTCTATAGTCACCCAGGGGTGTGTGTCAGAGGTGGGATTTGAATCCAGATATTTCCAACCACCATCATCTTCCCCTACCCTCAGTGACTAGCGCCAGTCTGTGCACATTCTCCTGAGGCTCAAAGATGCCCCAAAATGATAGTAGGAACATGGCTGCCAGAGGAAATACCAAATGCACGTTATTCAAATGATGGCAGAGCCTCCATGGCAAGTCCTCTTTCCACTGTACAGTATTGGTTATTATTCAGAATTTAGAGCTTTCCAGAAGTGCAGTAGGATGCCTCAGGAGATAACGAGCTTCTTATCTGAGCTGGATAGCCACTTGTCTCTGTAATGGCAGTCTGGGACATGTGTAGAGTACTTCTGATGGCAGATCTCCACATTGAGAGGCAAGGGTGCCTGGTTCTTAGAAAGTTTTTGTATGTAATAAAATGGATTAAGAAAGGCAATAAAGCATATAAAGACATCTTGTAACTGGTTCTGGGAAGCCAGCCACATGGTGAATTGGAAGTTCTTTAATTGGCTACAGTGGCCTTCAAAAAACAGCTAGAGACCATGGCCTCATCATTTTCTCTTTGACTGCATTCTGATGGTTTTGTTCCTTTGCTGGTGGCATCTGGGTATAGTCAATGCTAGAAGGCAGAGGCTTTGGGCCTTCCCCTTTTTGAGGCCATGTGGCCTGAAAAATTGGTGTTGATTTTTTGCCTGATTCAGTATTTGTTCTTTCCTTCCAGTAGAGGTATCTGAGAAAAGGGTTCTTCTAGCAGTGATTCTGCACGTGATGCAATCAATGTCATGGAGGAGCTCAGGTTAGTTCTACCCCCCTTACATTTTCTTAATTATATTTTTTTTAATTGTAGAATCTCAAAACAATACATTAAAACATATAGTTTCTGATTCACATGACATGCTTTTATTTCAGAAGACTATGACAATAAAGAGATTATAATCATGGACTAGATAACAAAACATACTGATGTCCACCACTCAATTGAGACTCAAATTGAAAATTCCTAGGGGCAGCTAGATGGCAAAGCGGATAGAGCACCGGCCCTGAGGTGCTGAGTTCAAATCCAGCCTCAGACACTTGACACTTACTAGCTGTGTGACCCTGGGCAAGTCACTTAACCCCATTGCCCAGCCAAAGAAAAGAAAAGAAGATTTCTAAAGTTCAATTAACAATCAATTATTTGCCCAATATTATGACATTTTAATTGCCAAATACTATGACATTTTTTCAATCTTCATTTTTTTTTACCTTTTTGTCTCATTTGACACTGTTGACCAACACTAGAGACTTGTGTGTGAAATGTTTTTTTTTTTTCCCTCTGCCTTTTCCCTTAATAAGATTCTTCAGGCTGAGGCCAACTGAAATCCATCCAGGACAGAGGGGAGGTAGGAAGATCCACCACCACCATGCCTACTTTTCCTCCTTATCTTCCCCTCACTGCTTCCCCTTACCCTGGACCTTAATTGTTCACAAGGCTTCAATGAAACTGAAGTTATCTACTCCTACTCCTGGTGAGTTGAAGGAAGACTGGACGTTAATATTTGCCTTGGGACATGTTTTGCATAACTGCACATGTACAACTTATATTGAGTTGC